ACAAAGAAAAATAAATATTCTTTGAAATTTAGCTGGAACAACACCATCAAATAATCACCCACCGGATGTAAAAGCTTGTGTTAGAGCCATTTTGCAATATCCATCAATAATTTTATCTTCATCTGATATTGCTCTTGCAACTCGGCATTACTCTGCCGTAGCTCGTCAACGTAGTATTCAATTAATGATTAATAAAAAGCTTTTGCATGAGGATTATTATTTCGTTCGGAAGTTGTCGAAATCGGTGAAGGTAACGAAAGGTTTTGCTAAACGAGTACCACAAGTAAACGATGAACAATCACGTTTTGATTTCATTACTGCTTTAAATGAGTTTGGAATTACGTGGGTATTGTTTAAATCTTTTTTTGATCTTACGAAAGATGGTATGTAGATAAAATGGTAATAAATATAAAAATTAATTTAATTTCTTCTATAGGCTTTCATACAACAACACAACTACTTTTGAATCAAACAGCTGAAATTTTGCTGGATTCAGAAGATTATCGCTCTTACGTCAATTATGATAAACGTGCAATATTTCGTCCGATTGAAAATGCAACAATAGAACAGGATGAATTGGAATATGGAGATAATGTTACAGGTAATATAATCTCGAAAAAATATGTATTGTTGAGCTTTATTGTATTTCATAGGTATTGAGCCATTTGAAAGTGTAGCAAAAGAAAGTGGAAAACGAAAAAAATCTCAAGCTGCTTCTCAATCCAAAAGAAAAAAAAGCTGAACAATTAGATATTTTATATATGCTTTTATAAAACAATTTTTGCGAAGGAAAATCGTAAAAAGAAACAGATATTCGTTGCGTATCTTTTTCTTTTGATATTATTGTTTTAAAGTTCTTTATTAACATATACAAGTCTGATATTTTTTTGTTATCATATTTTCGTATTTATTGATTTTATTTATAAGAAGTTCCAACAATTAAAACGAAACAACTTTTGAAAGTGAAACATATTACATCAGTATATTTTGTCTTTTTTGTCGTTGCAAAATCAGCTTTTTATCTTTATATATATAGACTATTTCCAGATATAAACAAGATGAATAATACACCTTTAGAAATTAGAAATGATCTTTTTTTTACCAAGCTATTGAAACAAGCTCCAATTTACACCATAATGATGCTACATGAAAGAATAAAAAATGCTTCTATATTAAATGACAAATATTCTGTTATTTGTGAGATTATCAATAAGCAATTCAATACCAACTTTTCACCTATTTTTATAAAACAACAAATTGATTTTTTCTCGTCATCAGAATTATTTCGTGAATATTTAATGTTTTCTACGGATGTAGATCAATTGATAATTGATTATCAAAAATTTACTAATTACTCAATTGTGTTCAGGAAAGTTGAACCAATGTCGAAGAAATGTATTGTTTGTTCAGATAACGATAATGTGCTACCTGTATATCAATTATCAAAAACTTTTATATTTACTGAAAACGTTTTAGAACAATGCATAACTTTATATTCTCATTGTAAAATATGTAAATGGTCATATTATCCAAATAGTTACAGCCATGATATTGCCAGAAAGCAGTACATACGAAGGGAACAATTTTTAAATGTAGATGCATTTTATTTTGGAGGTGAATGTGTTTATTCTCACAGAATCTTTTTATCATTTTCAACAGCTTTAGTGACAATGAAAGCTTCTTTTCATGGATTTGTTAAATACGTCAATAGTATATTTATAAATAAAACAACATTTCCTGAGAAAAAGCTAGATGAAAAAAATTTTCAAATTAATTGGATTATCTATTGTGTTTTGAAGTTATTATTACAATGGAGTAGTGAAGAAGTTATTGAAATTCCATATTCTTTATATGATAAAGACCAAGCGAATACCTTTTTTAGTCGACATAAAAGTCAACTTTACTCAGCATTTGTCAAATATTGGTCAAATCAAGCAATGCACAAAACTTCGAATTGTACCACTAGCTGCACTGATATATTGATAGTCGATGGACATAAAAAAACAGCTCGAACAACGTGTAAATTCAACAATTGTTATGACAACACAATTGAAGAGTTAGGACCTGTACTAGTTGAATGTCCTAAGTCGGTTTCCAAGCATTCAGGTGCGTACACAAGTACTATTGCTTTTATGAATACTATCTACTCTCAAAATTTTCTAGAAATCAATTCGAATGCTCTTTGCGAAAAGCATCTCGAAATAGTTGCTAATCGTGGTATTCATGTTATGGAATTTGATGCATCCGATGATGTAACAGATGAAACATGTAACGTTAAACGTAATGAGCTATCTGACGATCAAACTCGATCGACAACTTATGGGTTTTTGGTTTCCTTTTACTCGTGTGGAATCGTGGCTGGTTTTGATGAATCAATACGATCTGAGTCACCACGCCGTGTTTTAAGACATTTAATTCGAATTGGTAAACCATATATTTTCTTGCCTCATAAATTCTTTTTTTTTTAGGGCGATTCAGCAAATTTCCTTTGGGAATTATATACGACACTGCGTGTTCACTAAAACTTTACATGACAGCACGATATGGAACAGATTATTTTAAATCTACTCCAATTAGTGATCATTTTTATCACAACGTTCACTTCGTGCTCGATACTTTCCATCAGCGAAATCACACTCGGCATATGTGTAGAAATGAGATGCGTGTAGATCATCCATTGCACAAGAATATGTTTGACAATGTTAACAGTCAGATTGCAGAACAAACATTTTCTATCATTAGCCATTATAAAACACATTGGTCCAATTACTCATATCCAAAAAGCTACATACATTTTATCTTATTTTTTCATATATATAATTGTGATGTATCTAAAGCTCGGTTTTAAATAAATTTGAAAGTTCAAAACATATTAAAACTCTTCGATATAATACTCAAAAACGCACATGATTCTATGTTACGAGAGACGTGTACATCACCCTTTTGCTATATAAATGCAGATTTATACTCATAATACTTCTTTCTCATTCATATAAAGCGCATTCCTTAACTCAGTTCGTCCTTCGCATAAACTCAACGCACGATTTTATACGTATTCTGTATTATAATTTATTTCGTTTGGACGTTTAACTCAACTCATCTCGATTCAACTAAACAAGAAAGATGTATGTTATCTCTTCATATTACTCCTTGAATAAGAATGTATTTCTTAAGTTACTTTGATTTTAACTGTAATGAGCCCAAGTCAACGCATTAAGGGCCCCACCCCCTCAGAAAAGTCAATTTTTCGAAAAAAACTCGATTTTGAGATTTATACATATACTGATAGCCCTTGTGATGAACTACAACCTGGCATAATTTGTTTTGGCAAAGTGTGTATATTGGTCTTTTTTTCTGACGAATTTTTTTCTGAGGATGTGCTACTGAGGGATACTGAGAATACAGTGTTAATGATACTTTTCATACTTTTGTTTGACCGATAGAGCTGAAATTTTTCTATTCACCGCATTATGATATATTCACATACAGGCCACCAATAAAGCTTGAGGAATAGTCCGAAAATACTAGGTAGATAAGCAGACTTATTTTGAATAAAGACACTTATTGCATCAAAAAATTTTGTTTTTCGTTTTTCTCAAAATTAATTTTTTCGAGCATACTGTTTACGCGGGGAAGGATTTCTTGATAACGCCTCAATAAAGAAGGGATAATTTTTTTTTATTGCATAGAGGGTAGGTGGGGCTAGATCCTCACAGGCTCCGATTTTTGAATTTCTCTTTTGGTGAAATAAAAAACTTTAATATTTCATTTTTATTAGTGCTTTGAATTTGAACATTTTTCGAAAATGTGTTTTTAAAAATGAAAGAAAGGGAAATCCAAAAATTGGGCTCTGTGAGGATCTGGTCCTAAGGGTACTCTACAAGTTAAAAAACGCCCGAGCTTGTTAGCTTGTATCCTTATTGTGAAAACCTTCCCCACGTACAGGGTGTTTTTGACCAATAAATTGACCATAACTCATTAGTTTATTGGAAATTTGGGGGAGATATTTCACTCATAATCTATCCCAGCCTAGACTAATATCCTCCAAAACTTTGGGTGAAATCGGACGAGAAATAACAAAGTTCGTTTCTGAGGGGGCCCCCATTAAGCACTTATATACTATGCCTTCATATCACTTCTTATATAAAGTGAATTTAAGTCATCTCGACTCCAACCCAACCCAACCCAACTCAACACACCTCAACCTAATCTAACCCAACCCAACCCAACCCAACCCAACCCAACCCAACCCAACCCAA